TCTCTCTCTCTCTCTCTCTCTCTCTCTCTCTCTCTCCTCTCGCTATTGTCGCCGTTTTCCCGGGCGCGCTGCCGCTGCCGCCTCTGATTACGAGGGGCGACCTCAGCAGGCAGGGGCCCCGCCGCGCCCCAGCTCGGCTCGGCGTGCAGAGCGCTGCCACCGCCGCCCAAGACGTCGGAATTGTTCGTAATCCTCCCCAGGCACACCGAGAGTGAAAAGTTAAGCAAATCTGCTGTACGCGCGGTGGCGGGGTGGGTCGGGTCGGCGCGGCGCCCCCGCGGCCACGGCGGCGGCAGCTGCTTGTCGGGGACAAAATGAAAGCCGAGTCGCTGGCTCTCATTAGCCTTTATGGACAGCAGGTGTCTTGGGTGTAAACAAAGAGACGGCAATCTCTCTCCACCTTCCTCTCTTCTCTCCCCCTTCTCTCTCTCTCCCTCTCTCTCTCCCTCTCTTGTTTTCATCCCTCCCCCTTCCCGTCCTCTATTTTTCCTCTTTTATCTTCGGAGAACCACTCACAGCCTCCCCTCTCCCCTCTCCGCATGGGCTGGGAAGCGTTACACTATGCGGCTGAGGGCGAGTTCCTCGGGATGAACCATGAACCTGACCTGCGGGCGTGCTCGCTCGGCCCGAGGCTGCCCGATGCGGCCTGCGCGCGCGGGGGGGAAGGCATGCGACGCCTATTGATCTTCCGGAACCAAGGAAGGGGGGACTAATCGGAGAATTAACTGCCGCCCGAAATTTACTGCCTGAATATAGAAGTTCTCTCTGCCTGTTTCTTCCAGAGGGAATTATAAACGCTGTCAAACGGGTCGGCTTAGTACCTAGGGAAAAAAAACTTTCGATGATGTTAATTATTGGAAATCGGATTTGAAAATACAAATAACTAGGAAGAAAACTAAATTTCTGTTTTATTAAGACTGAAACGCAAGTGATGCGTTCGTGCGAATTCTTAAAAAATAACCCAGTAATTCAAACAAACTAGTCTTTTTGTCCGGGATTTATATGTGACAAGGAAATTTCAAGTTATA